TAAGGGAATTTGAGAAAAGGGACAAACACCACTTGGTTGTCCCTTTTGCCCGCGCAGGGACACAACAGAACACAGATGGAGGGGGCGGGAGAGTACGAAAAAAGGTATTTCCGCACCTGACCCTGAAGACAACGAGAAATAAGAAGAAGGCGCCAGCCACACGCACAGCAACCTCAAAACACCGCAGCTTGGTCGCACGACGCGCCCGGTATTTGTGCCGCACATCTCGCGATGGCCCTGGTCACGGTACCGCCGCCACCGGAGCGTGGGGGCACACGCACACCCAAAATAAATAAGAGAGAAACACTCCACAGAAAGTGTTTGCAGATGACCGGCAGCAACACTCCACCCCCCTCCTCGTCTGCTGCCCGCACCTCCCAGGGACCCCGTCGCCCTTCAACCCGCGCACCTCACCCGCAGACCGCAGCGGCGAGTTGGCCTGCACGAGCCGCACCCAGAAAGCGACGGCAATCGCATCGGCGCCACAACGTCACCAACGCCATCCGTGGCAGTGTTATCAGCAGCAGTAGAAACAGCAGTAGAGTCGCTGGAGTCGGTGAGCTGAGCTGGCAGGCAGCGAGGAAGAAGGAAGGAGCAAGATGGGTGAAAGAGGTAGTGGTAGCAAAGAGCGCAAGAGAGAGAGAGAGAGAGAGAGAGAGAGCCGCAGAATGACGAAAAGGCGGCAGCCCACCGACCGCACGCGTATGGAAGGCTCGGCCCTCCACACAACGAATCGCCGCACAGCGCCAACAGCCAACACCAAGCATCCAACGCAAACACCCCTCCCCCTCTGGCCACACACACTCCCACACGGAAAGTGGACCCGCGGTCATCCACGACGCCCCTCACTGCAACGCTTCCACACGCAGCGCCCTGCACCCGCAAGAAAAAAAACGAGTGAGCCACAGTGCACTCTCCCCCTCTCTTCCACGGCCACAGAAGGAGACAGCGGCAACCACACGAGGGACTGCCAACACCGGCTGGAAAAGGGCTATCATCCACGCGCCCTGCACTATATATCCATCTATCTGTGTAAATATGTAGATATGTTTGCGTATTGCGTGCACGAAGCCGTGTGTGTCTGCAGATACGCAAGCAAAAGGAGAAGACGAGTAAAGCATGCATGGACACACAAACGCAAACGCAAACACAGTAATCATGCAGAACTGAAAAGAGCAAAAACAAGACAGGCGAAACTCTCGATTGGGTCGCATCCCCGGCAATATAAAAGCGCGGGGCGTAAAATGAAAATAAATAAACGTTTTAGGTTCTGCTGAATTTCTTAGCCAAACAAAAAATAATTACGTCAAACCTTTTACTTCTCACAAAAACCGCGGCTTCAGCACAAAAACACACACACAAAGAAAAAAAAATATGCGTATTGGGGGGGTGGGGGGAATGATTCGTCTTATTTATTATTCACATCCTTACAATTCTGTCACTTCGGCAACGCCTCAATGACGGCGGTCCTCCCACCCTTAAAGAAGACCTGCGCCTTTTCTCCGATATGCATGTGCGCAACGGCCGCCGTGATCTCCGCGTCCGGCTGCTGCACGACGGCCCCGTCAACCACAATGGCGACGGCGTCAACCGCCGTTACCGCTGGGTTGTCGTCGAGGTTCGGTGATATCATCTTGAAGAACATGCCATGGTTCTCAACAATGCGGCGGGCCGCGCTGAAAGCAAACCGCACGCTGTACTGGGACCACGAGCCGCAGTACAGGAAGGACTCCCCCAGGCCAAGATGGCTCAGAACGGCAATGTTTAACGTCGCGGTGACACTGCTGCCGCAGAAAAAAACGCAGTTGGAGACGTCCGCGTGGATGGCTTCCCACACGCTTTCAAGTGCCTTCAGTGCGATGCTGCGACACTCCTCGTCCGGTCTGAGGCACTTGTGCTGGTCCTTGCACTGCATAAAACTGTCCCAAGGGAAAGAGACAGCATTCTCAATGCTGCCTGGCAGTGTGTCGGAGCAGGAGGGGCGCACCGTCGATGAGAAGCGGGTTGCTGCACGTGCATCCACCATGACTGCGTTGGGCGGCACCTCCTCGATGGTGAGGGCGCGCTCAAAGGAGTTCCTGTACGGCCATTTCTCCAGTGGCTGAACCATTACCTCCGGACGCCCCGCCTCCAACGGCAGCCCCGCCGCATGGTACGCCTGAAACCCACCGTCCAGCACGTACGCCTCAACCCCGAGGGAGTGCAGCATCCACCACATGCGGCAGCCGCCCATGGCACCGCTGAGGTCGTCGTAGCAAAGGACCGGCTTCCCCGAGCCAATGGCCTTTGCCTTGCACCACTCCACAAACTTCGCGGCGTCCGGCAGCGGGTGGCGCCCGTCGGCGATCGTGATGGGCCCACTTAGGTCCTCATCCACGCCCACGAAGACGGCACCCGGGAGATGGCCCTCGCAATAATCGTCCCTGCCGTGCGCCTTATCGCAGAGGCTGTAGCGCACGTCGCACACCTGGTAGTCGCCGAGACAGTGCGCGACGTCCTCAACGGCGAGAAACACCTTCCCGGGGT